CGATGTATTCAGAAACTAAACACGCTAATTTCATACGCATTATGATTTTCTTTAGCGTGTATTCTGTAGCGTTCAAACGTATTATGATTTTCTGTAGCATGTGTACGGTAACATGATACTCCAATTATGTAGTTTATTAATAATTCGAATGTACATATAATTTACTAATAATTCATTCGTCTTTTATATACACATGATTTATTGGGAATCAAATTCTTTATTGAAACATTCGTGACGAATTTTTACTGTACATATGGTAAATGATATTTTTAGCTGTAGTAAATGTTGATATTTTCAGACATGGTAAACTTTAAAACTGGCAATTTTTCAATTGTTACATTGTTGAATTTGTAGGATATGAAATTTCGAAATTCTACGTAATGATTTCTCATGGGAAGTTTGTAGACTAGAAATTTCACTTTTTTTTATTTTTAGGTGATAGCAAATTTCGTTTGAAAATGACAATTTTTTTCCTTTGAGAAATTTTAAATTTGTAAAATCTACGAATTTTAATTTGGAAGGATAGCAAATTTCGTTCGTGAAAGATTCGTGTGTAGTATTTCCATAACCTAGATAAGATGGTGTCATTAGGAATGTAGAAGAAAGGAAACAGATTGAAGAATGCGAGATATAAAAATATGCAAAAAATCTGGAGAGTAAAAAGAATGGGATGTAATTAATGTGAAAACTTTAGTAATGAACATAACAAACATGTAATATATAGAAGAATGAATAGTATATGATATAAAATACAAAATATAAAAATAAGACGCGGATTGATGATGCAAGAGACTAGACAATACGTATAAAATATAAAATGTGGAATGAAAACGTTGATAGTGAAAATTACGAAAAATATTAATTAATATTATAAATAGTGAAATAATATTACTATTAATATTAATATTAATAGTATTATATATTATTATATATAATAATATATAATACTATATATTAATATTAATAGTATTATTACTAATACTATAAATAATAGTGATAATAATAATATTATAGTACAGTATAGTATATACTACAATAATAATAATAATAGTATAGTAAAAATATTAATTAATAAACAAATATTCAAAAAAAAAACAATGCGAATAGTCAGACACTAATTACGAATTTACCGAAGTAGTTCTCTCTTTGATAGTGTTCTGGCTTGGGCAAAGAATGTCTATCTCTAGAGAAAAAAAGGAAAGAAGAAAGACACAAGAGAGAAAACCCATTATTGTTATCCGTCAGTACAATCCTACGTTCAACAAAACGAAGAGGCCATTTTAAATATACACGTGTACAACGTATTGCCTTTCAGCGCAAATTACCTTTGTGTCGAAAGTACCGTAATCAAGTCATCATAAAATGTGCGCACATGACAGTGACACGATCAGTGTACGTACGTTGGTGCGGAGCTTTCTTCTTCGGAAAGTTACGAGATCTTTGGCAACGTATCGACGAAATCGACTCGGGAGAGAGAGAGAAAGGGAGAGAGAGAGAGAGAGAGAGCTTACACAACAGCCGGTAATGTTACCGATCGAGCGCGTCCACCGCATTGAGACGCCATTATATAAGAATTACGCGCAATACAAAACGTGACCGGTACACATCGCCGAGGACATTAAGCGGTCTCGTTCGTGTGAATCGGCTGTTCGAAGTCGTAGGAAGACGTCGTAACGAGGAATTATGCGAACGGTCAACCGGGCTCCTTTGTCGTGAATTTACGGCACGAGCAGGGTCTTACGAGCTTCCGGTATATATTTAATGAGGCTTCCGGACTTTTCAACGTCGACTCGAAGTCGACAGAGCAACATTCGCCCCGGTGAAAAATCGCCGATACTTCAGACCGTGTTTCAACGTACGGCGGAGAAGAATAAATCGCGCGACAATCCTCAACGTTGGCCTCCTTTCGAAAACGCGAGAACTTTATTTATCACGCGATTCTTCTTCCCTTCTTCTTCCACGAAGAAGATTCTCGCAGACGGAGGAATCTCCTCGTTGTCGAGGATTGTGCAAATTTGAAATTCGACGCCCTCCGTTCGATCGTTGAAGGAATTTTTCTCGCGAGCTACTACCGGTGATCTACCTGTAATCCTCGAAGATTGAAAACTTCCCTTCGAAGCTTCAAATCAATCCCATTAAAACACGCTGCACGATCTGTTTTCTTCTTTGCCAATTTTCTTGAACCTCACAATCGTGACGAAAATCCACGCGTTTTGCAGTTTAAAGTTGGAAATGGCGGGGGAAAAAATCGCATGGCGTGTTTCGAAAGGTCGTCCGCAGGGCAAGGGTCGACTTCAATCTTCGAGATTGACTCGGTAATCGAAAAATTACGGTGGATTTAGCAATGAAGGCAAATTTAAAAAAGAAATTAATATTATTTTGAAATTTATTTTTATAAAAATTATATTTACAATAAAACCTATTTATTAATTTATAAATATTTAATTATAAATATTAATTTATTTATTAATTTATAAATATTTATAAATTACTTATTAATTTATTTATAAATTATTTATTAATTATTTATTATTAATTTATTTATTAATTTATAAATATTTTTAATAATAAAATATTTATAAATTTTTAATAAATTAAAATTAAAAATTATAAAATTAAAAATAATTTTTCTTAATATTAATAATTATCATAAATATTATTATTTTCTTAATTATAATAATTATCATAAATATTATACAAAAATTTATTAATTTATCTTCATATAAATAAATTATATTTAATATTAATTTATTATTTAATAAATTTATTGTAATACGAATTGAATAAGAAATAGTTAATAATGTTCTAAATAATAATAAAATTTAAACAAGAAATTGAATGCTTTTTATCTAACGCTTTCGCAGGCATTTTTACGATTGTCAAGGACAAAAGTATCCTTACGATATGAAATAAAATCATCGCTTAGGTCTGCCAAAGTGGAGACGTCGCGCTTTAAAATGAGGCTATCTGGATCATCGTGCGACCTGTTTTTTTTTATGACAGTTTAAAATATAGACAATTTTTCGCGTCGAAGAACTTTCGTCCATCTGGTCTGTACGAGATTTAATTTCGGTTGTGCCAGTATCAATTCGGAATATTGAGAAAGAAAAGATCTGGGTTAATTACGTTGTTGTATTACTAAATCGATCATAGACCGACTGTTTAATTTATCATTTATTTACATATTCAGTAATTGTATCATCTGATTATAAATCGAATTAAATTGAGTCTCCTCGGTTAATCAGGAAAGGAAATCGGTGTTCTCGATTTTATTCCTAATATACTTACACGATGCTGCGTGAAACTATGTGTTTCATAATTAATTTCCGTGCATTTATAGGGAATTTAGGTAGTTTACTGTTCGAATGTTTAGAACATGAGAAGAAATTTCTCAGGGAAATATATAGGGAAGAATTTATATTTTTTTTTTAGCAAGGGTGTTTAACATGCAAACGTACACACAAGATTTTCAAAATAAACTTGCAATATTTAAAGGATGAAATTCAGGTAGATATTTAATTAATATTCACTCGTTCAAGTTGCGCTCGTAAAAGCATGAATTTATGAATAAATATGAATGTGTAAATTCGCATTTGCAATTTAATAATGAATAAATAATCGGATTTCACGTGAGTAATTAAAGAGTCGTGTATGTCCGTGCGCGTCGCGATTAATTATTAGAAAATACACGTTATGGGGAATCACTGTCAGACAAAATTGCAGTTTCTTCTTATTGAAACTCTCCAAATTTACACCTTGCCTTTGCAACATTTTTATTATTACATCTCCCACTTGATTTGTCTTGAATTAAACGGTTTCTGAGAGTACGGTCAAGTTTTTTAAATCAATTTGTAGTAATAATCATTTGTTATTACATAGGAATGATCTCGGAACTAACTTTTGCAAAACCCATTTCGTGACACGAGAAGCAACCGTTAGCGTGGATTTAGATATTCACGGCGCGAAGAAGAAATTGGCTTAACTTTTTAATTTAACTTGGTAGCGAACGTATTTGCCCCGATGTGAAACTGTATTTTTTATAAATTCATAAAATTCGTTAGGCAGAGGCTCCGTTTCAGGGACCTTCATTTGCATCAATTCCGTGTATTCTCTGTGGCGATTCACAATTTCACCGGCAATATCGGAGGAACAGGATACATTGTTCCACTGTTTCAAACCAGTTACAAAATTTTGTGAATACTATATTCTTGACTTACACGTATATAAACACGTATAATGTTAATAGCGTCATATAAATAAATTTTACTTTTGTTTCTTGATTAATAAAATTCAGTTCGAAAATTACCAACACTTTTTCCACTAGTTACTTAATACGAGAAATTTAACAACGTATCGAAATAAAAAACCAAATGCATCTTTTCATTGTTTTATTAAACTAAAACAGTATTGAGACAACGTCACGTTGACTAGATAAATCGATATCAAGAGTGTCAACGTTAATAAAAATAATAAGAACAACAGTGTCGAATATTCGCTGGCGTAACATGATTTCAAGTTCGAGCAATGTTTCGACGAGGTTTAAACAACGAGAGTGTTCGAAATAAATTTGAACGTTCGTCTGCGAAAATTTCGATACACATTTAAATGCACACTTGAACGTCTCTCTCGAGATGAAACTACGAGGTAATACCGTCAAGTTTCCCATAAATACGTAACAACGTTCAACAACGCTTCCACCTTTCTGAAACCACCATCTAAATCCCTTCTCCCATTCCGTTCGCCGGATCAGTCGATTTGTACAAACAACTCGGAGCCACCATTCGCTCAATTAATGGGTCACCGCGGAAGACCTAAACCTAACTTAAGCCGCAAATTCCTGCAGTTTCTTCAACCGTCCGGTCAACAAGAAGCCGCACGCTCATTAAGCGGCTAAGACCATCCGCTTCATTAGTTCTCCCCTACTCTTTCTTTCTTTTTTTTTTTCTTTCCCCCCTCTCCTCGTTAGTCGCCAGTTTCTCACTGGTATTTTCTGTTTTAAGGTCAGCGGAGGCCGAGTCCGAGGCTGGTTCGCGGCAAACAGCGAGGAAGCGTCGCGAGGACTATCAGCAAGAGGACAAACAGCAGGAAGATCGCGAGAGATCGTACTTTGAGGAGAAGGAGGAGGAGGAGGAGGAGGAAGAGGAGGAGGAAGAGTCAGAGTTCGGACGGGAGCACGACTGGACGCCGGAATCCAGGGATTATGAGAAAACTCTCTGGCAGCAGAGGCGTCCGCTGCTGCTGGAGGATACGGTCTCCCTCAGGCATCAGGAAGACGACAGCAGTCTAATCAGCAAGGAACACTCGCTCGAGTACCAGAGCCAGACACTAGAGAGCCAGTCGGAGCGTCTGCTGCTCTCCGCGTCCTTGGAGAGCCTGCTCAGATCGGTGCCGGACAGCTGGCCGAGTCAGCCGTTGGACAGAAGCGTCGGGGAATCGGAGCGTAGCTTCAAGGAGACCCAGTACTCGCCGAACGAGAGACGCGACGCCGAGACACAGACTGAACAGGAGACGAAGAGCACCCAGTGCAGCCCGGAGCAGAGCGTCGTCAGCCCGTCGGAGGTGTCGAAGGACAGTCCTCTGCATCTGGCGAGAAAGTACTATCAGAGCCCGCGCAGGGAGGTTCAAACGCAGACGCAGGGCGAGAGCAAGAGCGTTCAGTGTTGCCTGGACGAATTAGGCAGCCTATCCAGGCTACCGGATCTCACTGACTCGTTCGACAGCCCGTCCAAGTCCGAGAGGAGCTACGTGAAGGAGTCGAAGAGCGTCCAGTGCATACCGGAGGATATCTCGACGAGCCTCGACAGAGCGTCCGCGTCGGAGAGTGTCGTTCTGTCGTACGATCAGGAGCCGACCAAGAGCCCGAGAAGGGAGGTCGAGGTACAGACTTATCAGGAGTCGAAGGCGATCCAGTGCAGCGATGACGAGCTTCTAGAGGAGCAATCGCCGGGGAATAAGGAAGAGAGCGCGAGGAGAGTAGCAGAGAGTTCGGGCTCGTCGAGCTGCGGCGGCTCACCCTGCGGCAGGCTTCCGATTCTGGTGTTCGTGGAGGGGCGAGGCGTGGACATGACGGTCACGCATCGGGATCACGACGGGAACGTGAGCTGGTCGAAGCACTGGGGGCCGGAGCGGCTCGTGGAGATCCACAGGGAGCCGAAGACCAGCCTCGGATTGAGCATCGTCGGCGGAAAGGTGCGTAACGCCGTTTCCTTTCAGGTTAAAAATAAAAGTTCTTAGCGGAGAGTTGCTCCACGTGTATGTTTGTGAGTGACTGCCACAAGGAGAGGAAGGAAGTGGGAAGGGGGAGAGGAGCTTGTGCAATCGGTTTGGTTAAACGAAAGCTTTTTGTGAGGCTCTGGGAGATGGGCTTGCAGACACGGGGTTCTTTCTCTCGTTTTTTTTTCCTTTTTCTTTTTTTTTGGTTTTGCTGTTGAACAGTTTAGAACTAGGTTAGCACGGAGCAGTTTTTGGAAGCTGACTTTTGGATAGAGAGTTTACGTGAGTAAAGAGCGAATAATTTTACCACTTTTTTTTCTTTTTCTTTTTAATTCCCTTGCGCCTTGTTTTGTGCCTTCTTCAGTTTTGTGTTTGGTTAGTTTGGAATTGGGTCAGAATGCAAGAGAGAAAGTTTTAGACTATTCAATTTAGTTTAGACTATTTTCCAATGTTTAACGCATCTTATTTTTCATGTTTTTGGTTTTATTTTTTTTTTTTTTTTTTCTTTTTTTGGTTAGTTTAGAATTAAATTTCCTAGATAAAGAGCTTATCAAATCTTACAATTAGTAAGGTTCTCGCCTTTTCGTGCGCAAATTAAAAACGCATTCAGTGTGTTTCACATATACACACGCCGTTAAGCTTCGTGAAACTTTTTCGCGCAATCCTTTTTCATTATTTCTACACCTGTCCTCGTTACTTGTTTCACAACGTTATAAAACCTACATTTACACCAGTTTTTAACAACTCATTTAGATCCTCGCCCCGGATTGTGAGATAGCTCGAAAGTAAAGCTGCAAAATCGGCGAGAGGTAACTTTATTTTCCACTTGCAATGCAACAACTTTTTCGCTGCTTTTATATACATCTATATATAAAATACACACCACCGAAAGTCAACAAATTATTCACAATAAATCAAACAATAATTTTATTCCCGAATGAGAAACGTATTTCCCCATTCTTTCTGATTATATTAAAACAGTCTTTCTCCTCTCTTCATCTAGCAATAAATTCATTTAAAAATTATTTTCCGATCACACTGACAACTGTATACGTTCTTTCGTTCACTTTTAATAAATAACAAACGCAGCTTTCGCTCTTCAATTCTACTCGATCGAAACATTGAAATGAAATCGAAAAATTCTTCCTTCTTCATCACATAAAATAATTATTGTGTAAAATTTGTTTGTTCATTACGTTATTAATTCGTTTTCAATATTATTAGATCTACGTTTACGTATTTATGGCTTTTGTTTTTTTTTTTTAAATTTTCGTTCCACGCCGTTCCTTTTGTCTTTTTATCTTACAACGTGACTTAAGGAGGTAGCCGCGCGCATTATGAGCGCAATTCTTTTGCCTGTATTAATTGCTTGGTTAACGATGTCGTGTGTCGAGCTAATGGCACCACGTCGCCGACACGGCTTGATAATTTCAATCCATACTGTGCCATGAGCTCGACGCTGTGCATACAGTCGCACTGGTGTATGCGCCGCGTCCATTAGCGTACCGTATGGCTTCGAGATATCGAGCCCGTCTGGCCCGACGTAATCGAATAGCTGCTTTCAATTATTCTAAACGCCACTTTCACAGAGTAAATTTCAAGATGTGCGCGCGTCGAGGGACGAGGTTCGAACGTTTAAAAAAAAAAAAAGTAAATTTAACGCTCTCTACCGATAGCGCGCGTTACTGCGTGGTCAAGTATGAAAAAAATTGCCACTCGGAAGACACTTTATTTTCGAGAACGTTGTCACCATTCTTTCGAACAGCAAACGTTATGATATATTATAATATTTAATATATTATAGTATTAAATACTATCATATATTATAATATTAAATATTATAATATTAAAGGAGATATTTGGGAATTTATTTTTCCATAGCGAATGCAAAACAATGTATAATAAATTTAAAACATAGAAGAAACAAGTCGACAACTTTCATCGAGAAAGTTAATTTTGAACATTTTTCTCTCGAAACTTGAGTCGGATCTTTGTGAAAGCAACTCTAATTTAACTGCAACTAGACACCAGGAAGATTAAACATTATAAAATATCCAATGCTCCAATTTTATCTCGATTAATGAAAAAGAAAACGAAGACCTTCCAGTATTGTTTAAAAATTGAAATTCCTTCGAGGACATCAGTTTACTTGGAATTCTCGGTAAGTTGAAAAAAGTTTAAGGAGCTATCGGTTCGTTTCAGATCAAAGTTTCCCGTGCACCAGATGCAAACCAGATATTTTTCTTTGCGTGAGACGTATATATATATATATATATATATATATATATATACATATCGCACGATAGCAATTGCGGTTTCTCGATAATTTCACGGAATGAATTCTGCCGACTATTGGCCCGGAGAATTTATTTTTTCTCCACGCTAGGACGTCGAAGTAGTCGATTTCAGACGAGATGCTTCCACGTGCTGGTGACACGGCACAGATTTTCTTGCAGCAAAGGCCAAAGATCGGCTATTGTTCAAGGTTATTTCTCGCCAATCATCGTTTCGTGACATAATTGTTTTAACGAGTCTTCTTTAATCTTTCGAATGACGTGCCACGCACGTCGACAATTTTTTGTTTCAAAGTTGTAACATTTTCTCAGTCATAATAGTATATTATAGTTAATAAGTAATATTTTATATTATAATATAATAATATTATATTGTAATATTTTTTATAATATAATAACAATATTATATTAATAATATTTTTTATAATATAATAATATTATATTGTAATATTTTTTTTATAATATAATAATAACAATATTTTTATTATCATTTTTTATAATAATATTTTTTTATAATATAATAATAATATTATATTGTAATATTTTCTCAGTCATAATAGTATATTATAGTTAATAAGTAATATTTTATATTATAATATAATAATATTATATTATAGTTAATAAGTAATATTTTCTCAGCCGTAATAGTATATTATAGTATTCAAGTAAAGACAAAATAGGCAAAACAAGTGATAAATTTATTACTTCTCAGTAATTTCTGTCCAATGATATCATACTGACATGAGTTCAAAAAGAAAGGGACGAATTATTGTGTATACAGCTTTTGGTCACTCGTTATGGTCCGCAATCAGCTGCCAGCGAAAATGGTTAAACGAGCGTCCAACGATTCTGTTTCGAAATTATATTTACACCGTTTGTCGATTTGTTCGACATTTTGTTTTTGTACAGTGTTCTCGCTGCAATACAATTTTCTCCTTTCTTTATTTTTATCGTTTGACTTTCTTTCTGTTTGAAGGTAATTAAAAAATTCGTATGACAAGAAGACAAAATTAAATTTTAGTCACCGAGGTGGGTTATTAAAAAAAAAGTTAAATCAAAAAGTCGAATCGTATTTGTTGATCCACATAATATTGAAATCGCCGTGAAATTTCACGAAGCTCCAACTACACGAAGTTTCAGCGAGGATATAAAAGCCTCTGAGAGACTAAAACGCGCATAAAAATCTGAGATAATAGCCTCGCTAGTACATAAATTCGTTTTTTCGTTTATAGCTGAAGCTATCGAAAGAAAAAAGAAAATTCGAAACATAAATGTACCTTAATGGACCACATTTTCTCCCAACCTAGATATCACTCTTTCCGGGGAATGGGAAATTCTCCAGCGAGAATAATAATTCCTGCGCCTTGAAAAAATTACTCTTCCCGTCGGAAAAAGTTGAAACAGCAGGTGAACAAGTGGCGATAGAAATATTCATCGTCGAACAATCCATGAAGCATCGTTCACTCATCAGCTCTATCGTCAAATCGATCGTTGTCAAATTGTCAACAATGTTCTGACTTCGTTCCAGGTCGATCTGCACAATGGCAGCTCTAGTAAGTCACAGAATATATCCGGGATATTCATAAAGAACGTATTGCCGAACAGTCCGGCCGGAAGAACCGGCGAGTTGAAGGTAACGTATGCGACACGAATTCTATACGTAGCCATTTGTTTTCGACGAGCACGAGAGAAGAAAGGAGGTGACGATTCGGTATTCCGTTCGGATCGAAGGAACACTGAACTCGAGATTCAACCGGCTTGGCCTGAACTTTCTCTGATCTCTGTTCCGCATAATTATTAATTCTTTCGAATTATTACTTCTCGAGAAGTTACAATTTCAGAGATCTATTAATTTAAAAACAGTCTTATGTCTACTCTGGAAAGTTCCTTTAAAGTGTAAATACGCATTTTTAAATGAAACGTCGAGAATTTTCATTTATTATTGTACATTTTCTTTTTTTTTAATTTTATTTTCGTCGAATGATTAATTTCCGTCAGAGGCAAGAATTTTTTAGAATTTCCAGTGTTTAGTTTGTATGAATGTAATTTATTTTTCTCGTTTGTAGTCTGGATATATTGAGTTTGTTTTTTGTTTTTTTTTTTTTTAACGAAATTATGAGATACAATTTGTTAAAGAATAAGTTTCTCTCGTTTGTTTCGAGAATTTGTACTAAGAATTTTTATGCGACAGTGTACATTGACAAATTTATCAGAGAATAGAATATAAATGGGAGATCTTTCTTCAAAGTGAAGACCGAAAACATTGGACGAATTTATATCACTGATTCTCGTCACGAACGGAGAGAACTTTCTCTCCGCTAACCCAATAATGGACACGCGAAACTGGTTGAACCATAAACCTTCATTCTTCGCTATCTTTTATGAAATTTAATATCGCGTTCCAGTTATCTTTAATTCAGTGTCCAAGACTCTTTTATAATACGTTTTGGCGCAAGATATCATACATTTCGTAGATAAGACCTTCATGAAAATGCGAAATAACAATAATAATAATTCGAAGGATGCTAACTTTTTTTATTCAGTTATGTATTTTCTTTCTCTTGAGTTCTCCGTCAAAGGAACTTTCCGCAAAATTCCTTCGCGAAAAGGAGGATCTCCTTTCTCCTCTCGACAAATTACGAAACGCTCCAGACAAACGCAAATAGTAGTAACAACAATTTAGAATTGAAAAGGTTCTGCTGGTTCTTCATTTCACTCGCATTTTTCTCTCATTTTGCTCGAATTTTTCTTCTCAAAGGAACCCGTTTTTTCCCTACTCTCTTGCCTGTTGGATTAAATCTCTTCAAATGGACGAGACAGTTCTCAAATTTTCGAAATGTTACTCTGTCAACGCGATGTTCGTTCGTTATCTATTAAAAAGCAGTCCAAAATTTATTAATCTATTAAAATAAATGCTTCGGTCATAATTTTAGATAATATTATATTATTTGTATTATATTTATAAATATTATGTTATTATAATATCATATTTATTATAATATTTAGATAATATTATATTATTTGTAATATATTTATAAATATATTATAGTATCATATATTATAATATTTAGATAATATTATACTATTTATAAATATTATATTATTATACTATCATATTTATTATAATATTTAAATAATATTATATTATTATAATATTTCGACAATATTATATCATTTATACTATTATTCGGTCATGTTTTAGATAATAATGTAGATAAAAAAGAAGATCCTGCAGTGAAGGATCAAAAAAGGAAAAAAGAAGGAAAATTCGCAGTGAATGAAAAATCGTAGAACGTGGGTCGTAAAAAAGGGATTTAATATGCGTTCGTTCTCTTTCTCGTTTACTTTCAGATCGGGGATCGAATAATCGAGGTCGATGGCGTGGACCTGCGGCATAGTACTCACGAGAGGGCGGTGGAGGTTATACAAGCCGCCGGAAATCCTGTCTGCCTTCTCGTCCAGTCTCTGGTGCACCTGGTGAGACCTCGCCACGACCAGGAATATATCGATATCACACCCTTTCCTCTCCACCCTCGTTCATCCCCCATTTCCTCACTATTGCACATTCACTGCCGTTGATTAGTTAGTATCTTATAGCTTAGATTTTCATATACGGTAGAAATATATTTATATTGTATATTATTATATATGAAAGTAATATATAATATAAATATATTATATTATATTATATTATATAGTATAAATATATTATATTATATTATATAGTGTAAATATATTATATTATATTATATAGTATAAATATATTATATTATATTATATAGTATAAATATATTATATATTATTTTCATATATAGTAATAGATTCGTAGCCGAATCGTTGAATCGTTCGATCATTTTGCAACATAATTGTGTATTGTCATTTGTCGACATGGAGGTTCTGTCTGTTGTGTTATGGTTTTGTTGAACAATTCGTAAATAATTGCTATTAATACACTCTCACTAAGTCGTAGCCGTGGAAAACAAAAGACGACTTTTCTGTAAAGGTGTGTAAAATTTGATTATTTTGGAATAACAACAAAAAATGCATCAAGCATGAACGACTTTTTCGTACAAAAATGTTTTCCAGTTCCGGGGGCTTTTGCACAATTTTAAATATAGCGGAACATTTCAAACTATTTAAAGTATCAATTACCACGAGGTAAATTGAACAAAATTTAATTTGAAAGAGAAAAGACCATCGAGTGTAATACAACATTTATTTATATATATATATATATAACATGTTAATTGTATCATTCTTATTTCGTTCTTTTCTTTCTAGAATATTAAATCATAATTCAGCTTCAAAACGATCTTTTCTTTCTTATTACAAATTAATGAATAGCGTCTCGAAATATAGTAATCGTAGAGGTCGATACACACAGATTTAGTCGTCCTCTACTATTTTCACGGATGAAACAAATTTATCCCTAAAATGAATTTAAAAAATTTAAAAAAAAAGAGAGAGAGAGAGAGAAACAGACAGAACCCACGTAACAATCGATCAGTTCTACCTACACAACCACAACCGTACGATTCTAACATTTCGTTTGTACTTTTCATCATCATCGCACTTGCCAAGGGATCCTCTGTGCAACCCCGATGCTTTCAAAAATGCATCTTTCGTTTAATTGTTTCCACTTCGGCACGCTTTGTTACGCGTTTGAGAACTTTGAGAATTGCTCGTTTGCCTGTCTGCCACATTATTTGACCGTCGTCGAAGGTTTGGCGACGTTTGGCGACGTTTGGCGAAGCGTTGCACACACAAGGAGAAGAAACGAAAAATGGACCACGGTGTTTTCGATTGCACTGTGTACGCTTCGAACAACGCGTCCAACGTAGTCGACACGTGTATGCAAATGAGACTGTAGCCGCATGCTCGACTCGAAACGGACCTTTTGCTTTCCACGTTTAACGACTTCTTTCCTCCCCCACGGAAACGTAAGAAACGTAATTAAAGTTGTAATTAGTTAGTCGAGAGAGAAAACCCGAGAGATTGATTCATTTCCTCCGTTTTCCTTTTTTTTTTTTTTTTACGATTTTCAAGGACATTTGCTGACTTGAATATTTGCTGATTAATTCCTTTCCAAATTTGTCATTCTAAATTTAAATTTTGTAAATTTGTCATTCCAGATTTAAATTTTGTAAATTTGTCATTCGAAATTTAAATTTTATAAATTTGTCATTTTAAATTTAAATTTTGTACATTTGTCATTCCAAATTTAAATTTTGTACATTTGTCATTCTAAATTTAAATTTTGTAAATTTGTCATTTTAAATTTAAATTTTGTAAATCTGTCATTCGAAATTTAAATTTTGTAAATTTGTCATTCCAAATTTAAATTTTGTAAATTTGTCATTTTAAATTTAAATTTTGTAAATTTGTCATTTTAAATTTAAATTTTGTAAATTTGTCATTCCAAATTTAAATTTTGTAAATTTGTCATTTCAAATTGAAATTTTGTAAATATGTCATTTCAAATTTAAATTTTGTAAATTTGTCATTTTAAATTTAAATTTTGTAAATTTGTCATTCTAAATTTAAATTTTGTAAATTTATCATTCTAAATTAAAAATTGTAAATATTTGCTAATCAATTCCTTTCCAAATTTCTCATAATTTTTTCTCTAAATTTAAATTTCGAAATTCGAACATTCACTGCACACGCAAATTTTCAAATTTATCGCAATAGGAATATTTCGATCATCTGAATCGCCAAGTTCAAATTTCGAACTTTTTGATACCCTGTTATTTGTTTATTTCCTGATTATTTTTTCACTTCTCGGACATTTGTAATCAAACTCGAATCATTGAATTTACGTTTAAATTCCCTAATTTTGGTCGAGTTTAGTTAGATATTCGAGTCAGCGTGATTTTTCGTTGAATTCTGTAAAAATTATCAGCCTGCCGACGCTGACAAACGTAAATCTAAAACACGCATAACGTCGTAACCTCGTAATTTACGCTTATAAAGTAGAACGCTTGTAAAATTCACGCTGGCTGCCGGTTATGCTCGTTGCAAACCCAGACGGGAATCGCAAATTCTCCTTTTTTATTTCCAACGAGATATACGATCAATTTTCCGCCACGTTCTCGCATGTAAGCTGCCGGATTGTTTCGACATATATAAAAATGCACGAATGCACCTGTTAATTCCTGTTGTTTTCAAAAAGAGAGAGAATCAGTTGGAACAAACATGTAACATGTACACTCGTAGGAAAAATATTTACGACGATAATGCTTCATCCCTTTACGAATAAAAATATCGGTGTTTTTTAAATCCGAAACACGGAAACACGTGTGCTTTTACATCAAACATTATCATTCGAAGACACGACAAATATTATTAACATTATTTTTTTGTTATTAATTTTATTCGTGAAAAGCAAGTGGAACAGTGTGATTTAATTGCAACGTTATCAGATGAGAATTGTTGTGCGTGCGTGTGTGTGTGTGTGTGTGTGTCTGTTTTTTTTTTGCAAATCGCGAATTGTAAATTGCAAATCCACCGAGAGTTACACACACATACCAAACGAATATTAAAGTTTGAGAAAACAATTGTCGATGAAATCGAAGAGGAATTAAGTAAAAAAGAAAAAGACAGAGAAAGTTCTGATGTGTATTGTAAAAATGTTGCAAAACTGTGTAAAGGAGACCAATTGTTGAATTAATATTTCCGAAAATCTACGATTTATGAAAACGAGGTGGATTTTATTTCCATATATTTCGTTTATACGATTCTACTCCATCCTACGAGTTTGATAAGCGATCAGAAGCACCACAGAACCTTCCATCAAGCTGATTTCGACTGAAAATTTCGTAGACAGACAACACAAAACAAAAAAAAAAAAAAAAAAAAAAAAAAAAGACAAAGAAAGAAATCAAATCGCCCATTTTCTTTTTTGTTTTCCAATAATCAATTATTATTCTTGGATTAATTCCAACCGGACACACAGCACGTGTCTGTAAACTTTAATTTAATATCTAAGTTATTTAAATCAATTTCTCAACTTCGAGTTAATTTTTCTTCGACGCGGATGATATTTTCGTTGCTCGAGTTACTTCGAAATTTCAACGATTCAGAAATTAATTGGAACTAAATGGAATGACCTAATTTAGACGAGGGAGATAATCATATTGAAGAAGAAAAAAAAAATATTTCACTTACGAGAAGCAAGTTCAATTATAGAAAATTTCACACATTATTTCACCAGTTCATTTGTGTGGAGCGAGCCTCGATATTAATATTTTCATCGAACAGCAACCCTAGCAACCGGCAGGCGTTTCAAAATGTCAGACAAACTAGAACGTATCGTCCTTGAGTATCTGTCTCTCGTACCATCGTACCTTCTGCAGTGATCTATCATCCTCTGGCGACCAAAGTTGATAAAATTATCTAAACGACTGTGTTTGAAAATTCTTTTTTTCTTTTTTTTTTTTGGATATTCAATTTCGAACGAAATGAAATCAGTCTCGGTGAATATCTCGATGAATATAAATCATTTGAATTTGGCTTTAAATTGTCTTTCATTTACGACGAAAGAATATCATTCGGAATCGTAGATTATTTAAATTGTGAAATTATGGATTATATCAGGTACGAAAGATTTAGATTGCGGGGAATTTAAACTGTATGGTGCTTCAATTTGAATATTTAAATGATGTAATTACGAAGTCTTTTAATGATGGAGTTATTGAAATTGTGAAAAGTTTAAATTATAGAGCGCTCGTGGAAAATTTAAATTGTAGAATATCTAGATTGTGAAGAATTTAACTCGTGGAATTATTCGGTATTTTATATATAAATTATAGATTCCAATGTATTTTTCTTTATTTTTTAAATTTATTCCAAATCCTATAATTATAGATTCTATAACGATTTTATAATTTTATAAATTCTATAGATTCTACCAATTTTATGATATTACATGTATGACTAAATACTACAATTATAAATTCCGTAAATTCTAAAATAATAATTGTAAAATGTTTATACTATAAAATCTTTAACAGTCATTTGCAAATTACAAAATATTCTAATAACAGTAAAAAAAAAACTTAGCTTTGGAATAAATTAAAAAAATATAATTATAGATTCTATAATGAATTTATAATTGTATAAATTTATAGTTTATCTATAGTTTCTACCAATTCTGTAATGTTAGATGCATGACTGAGTTCCACAATTATAAATTTTGTGAATTCTAATTGTAGAATGTTCCAACTATAAAATCTTAAATTACAAAATATTAAATCTTAAATTACAAAATATTAAAATCTTAAATTACAAAATCTTAAATTAATTAATATTAAATATTTTATTTATACAATAATAAAAAAATTAACTTTGCAGAATTTTAAAACAATAATTCTAGAATCTTCAATTCACTTCAATTAAAAGCGCAGCCAAATTAACCAAATTCACATTACTAAAAGTCCAAACCCTCTGGAGATCAAAGGAAACTCTCGAAAATTCAA